TTCATTATGCGTTTGGTATGGCTAATTGAACTATAAAAAATTACTTGCATGATTCTCTTCCACAATTTTATGGTTATTTATTTATTGTACTATTTTTCAGGAGTTTTGACCCCAGAAGAGAGTGTAATCTGCGGAAGTATTCGTATCTCCTCCCCGCAGATGTTGTTGGGATCAAAAGTAATTTTACCACAGATAAAATTGATTTTCATATCTCGGATTTCAATGAGATATTGAACACTTTTGAGGTCCTGCATTTTCTTTAGCTGTCTTTTTTTTTTTTTTTATTTCTTGTTTTTGTTTGTTCTGAAACCACTTTCCTGTGAGAAAATTTCTGAAATTATTAAGTTTGTTTCTTTAAATGTCTTCTGCAGGGAGATCATCCTTTTCATAATTATACAATGAGATCGAAGTATAGGAAGCAGTTTCCTGCAAAGAAATCATACAAGAATGGCTGTGCATTGAGAAGACAGAGATCATCTGAAGAGGAATCAGAGTTTGAGTCCGGGGCAAGTGATGGTGAAGAAAATTTTGAATTGAATGGTCTAAGTACCTCAAATTATGAGGGACTGGACCAAAATTTTTCAGCGTCCAATATTTCTCATAAGAATGTAGTTGATGGTCACGAGAAGCATGGAGATGTCCAAAATTCCAGTTTACCTGTTCTTGCAAGATGGCTATATGAACCTGATGAGACCGATAGAATAGGTGCTTCGCATTTTAGAAAGATTTTTCGTTGTTCTTGTGCAAAGCTAGAGAAGTCTCTTGGATATAATTATGTTGAGATCTCCATATGGGGGGAGTCTTTCATGCTACATCAGGTGATTCTTTTTCCTTAAAAATTAGCTCTTTTTTTTTTTTTTTTTTTTTTTTTTGAAGGCAAAATTAGCTCTTATTTTTACCATATTAAGAATCTCATTGATCTATCATATTTTAAATATTATCCATAAAATAATTTAAACTACAGAGATATTAAATTTACAAAATTTGACATCATTTATCTTTTATGCGCTTTTCAGATTCGCAAAATGGTTGGAACCGCTGTGGCAGTAAAGCGGAATTTACTTCCGAGAGATATTTTAACATTGTCAATGTCTAAGTTCTCACGAATTGTCCTGCCACTTGCTCCATCAGAAGTTCTTATCTTAAGGGGAAACAACTTTTCAATAAGAACAAGACCTGGAAACCTAACTAGGCCCGAGATGTTGACAATGGTTGAATCAGAAGAGATTCTCGAGGCAGTTGATGAGTTCTACACATCCATAGTAATTCCTCAGGTTACCAAATTCTTGGACCCATCAGCGTCTCCTTGGAGGGAATGGGTTGAGAACTTGGATCATAACACACGAATTCCGGATGCTCAGTTAGATGAAGTCAGGATTGCTTGGAACACGTGGAAGGAAAATTATGAAAGCAGAACAAATGTTACATCAGTGACAAACGAACGAGCCAGGGTAAATCGACGGTGATCTTATTTTGGCGCTAATCTCCTGAAAATCCGGTTGCCTAACCTTACTTGTTGCCTAGTTCTGTCCAAGCATTCCATAGAATTCTCTCTAAGAGTTTTCTGTCATTTTTTGAAATAGTGTTCTTTCACTTGCAGTATTATAATATTTCTAATACCTTCCATCATGAAAAATTGCTTCCTTTCTTTTTTGGCTGAAACATTAAAAATTGCTTATTAGCTATTGACTGGGACTCTTTCTGTATTAGTAGCCTTAAATGCACTTTATACAAAATAGTTCTTGTTAGTTTTAGTTAATGCCACTATTCCACATTGATGTTACCAGGAATTTGCTGCAATATAGTCAAAGTCTATTCCCATCATTGGTGCAATCTGAGAAACTTGGCGATTGCTTCAGTATAGGCCTCCGGCGCATCGAAACTATGACAAAGAGAATCGACAGAGCTTGCATGTTGATCAATGATTGAAGAAAAAGGTAAGAAACTGAGGCATTTGTTGTTAGAGAGTATAACCCAGATCCAAGATGAAAAAAATAAAATAAAATCAGCAGGTGTCACTTGTCAGCATCTGATTCGGCTTGCTAGTAGCAGGAGCGCATTTATCTTGTATGCTTTTTCTTCATTATTGTCACAACTCACATGCTTAAAACTGCCATTTTATTTTCTTGTTCCCGACATATATTGGCAGCAAATGTCTGCTCAGAGCAATTTGCAATAATTTCCCCCTACCAATTTAAAAAGAGTTTATGAAAAGTTTTTAATTTAGATTTTTAGCCTTTCATTTGTGAATACAAATTATATTCTACATATATATATATCCTTATATTATATTACTTTTTACTTTTTATGTGATTTTACGATTCAAAACAGTTTCTTACTAGTAGAGTTTTGTCTTCATAGTTCATACTCTACCACGGAATCCTTATCAGTATTTCTTTTTTCAATAATTGAACTTTGCCTTTTCTATTTATTTTGGGCATTGGCTGAAGTACTTGAACGATGTGTATACTCAAAAGGGTCCTACGAAGAACTTTTTTTTTTTTTTTTTTTTTTTTTTTTTTTTCGGGCAATTCGGTGCCAGTTAAAAAAAATTTTTTTTTTTTTTTTTTTTTTTTTTTTTTTCCGGCAACTACGTGTCACGTATCAAAAATATTCCTTATGACGTTGGGATTTCAATGTCATCTATTGAATAACGAATTTCCGTTTGTTGATCAAGGTTATCTTTGCCCTTTAGGGCTTCTTTAACCTGATGCATCCATGGCCAAAATTTTTGCTGCTTCTGAAAATAGATCAGTGATAAACTAGATGCTTACTTCGGCGGTAGAACAAAGAGTTGGTTTAATTTCTCTTATGAGTAGGCAAAAGTAGCAAAAGAACAAAGACGCTGGTTGATCTTGATCCAACCCCTTTAGCCAACATCTTCCTTTCTTTTTTATGTTTTTTATTTTTATTTTTTTAAAATAATGTTATTCATCCCCATTCCGTTTATCATTTTTATAAATCTCACAACCCATCAATAAAACGAAAATAACTAGCTCTATTCTCTTCATCATTTTGGAAATTTCACGGCCCACTAATAAAATGAAAATGATCTGGTGATCTAATTATACTTAGAGGATGGATCCACTTATGACTCGTACCACCATATATCTAATGTTGAGCATTACATTAATTAATCAAGTATTCTAATGTTGAGCCTTACATTAATCAAGTAGGGATCCTGAAGTGGGTTGTGGAGTATATTCAATATGTAAGCTTTCTTAACGTATGTGTATATCAGTCTGTACAAATATTAGACTATTAGTGTTAACTTCCCACAGTAATTAGATCATAAGATTTGACACATTGCTGTGAATAGTGAACAATAATTCACTTCTTGCTGGATGCTACATGACAACATACATATAGTTTTATAATCGTGATACAAATATGGAAAATCTTCTGGTGTGATATTAAAAAATAATAATAATCCACCACATGCGCATGCCTTTTTGAATATGATAAATTTGACATTTAGAAAAAGCGAATTACTAATAAATATTTCTGCAACAAAATCTCTCCACAAAATATTTTGGCTTCAAACTATTTTTTAAGTTTCCTTTCTAGGGGAAAAATACTAAAGTCCCGTTTATGTCGTATACTCAAACTTAAATCATTGATTCTGCTATAGTGTTTTCTTTTCACAAAAAATTTAAAATTCAAACGTTATAATCAATAATCATGGTTTGAGTATACTTTCTAAACGAACCCCAAGTTGATGTTGTATATGTATTAAACCGTGTTAAGGAAAACTAATAGAAAGAAGAAAATGGGAAAATGGGGTATAATTTAAAGGGCAATTTTTAAAAATACCATTTGAAATAGAACCCATTTTTATTTCTATCTCCTAACATTAGCTCATATCTTTCTACATTTTACACTAAAACTAGTCAATGATAGAGTTTTTTAAAATGTGTACTCTTAATAAGTTAGGTACTTAAGGGTAGAATCTGTAATTTTCTCTAATTTTTTTTTAAAAATATTTACTATTCCACTTCAAAAGGGGTGTTTGTTTGTCTAACCAACTTGTGATAATAAGATGGAAAAGTTACAAAGGATTATATAGCATGGTTTCTCATTGCACACAAAATAGTGTTGGCTGATTTGCATGTTGGCACAACGTGCAATGCTACGCACTGCTGCCCTGTGACTGTGAGTATGTGTACTGTTTAATTTCTCTGAAAGCTGTTAAAAATCATTATTCGTACAAGTAGTACAAGAAGCGTATTCAATCATTCATAAACTTTATTTATTTATTTTGCTTGGAAAAGCACATTCATAAACTATAATATATATATATATATATATGATAGACTCGAACTTCATCAATCAAACAAACTGAAATGATTTTATTCTAATAAGGCAACGAAGTATAATTAAAACTATCGTATCCAAAACAGAGAAAAATGAACATGATATAGATATACATTCATGAAAAAGATTAAAGATTAAAAGGAGGGGAAAATGATGATCAAGATGAAGGGAAAAAGATTATAGAAGAAGAAGAAACATGATCAAGATTTTTAGGTTTGGTTCAGATCAAAAAAGATATGTAGGTTTAGGTTGCGAGCGCTAATAATTAGTCTAGTTTTGGTTAACTTCACTCCAGCGTTGAAAGGCTTGGAACATTGATTGTTCAACTCTCTGAGCATCTTTCTCGTTACTTTGCTTGTTATCATTCTGCAAATTGATTCAACAAACCAAGCACACAAACTTCTCATATTGATTCAATAATGTCAAAACTCAAGAAAAATAATCACCACGCAAGCATGATTACAAATATAGACACATACATATATAATATGTGTGTAAATATAGTCCGCATGTATATTCATAAAATAAAATAAAAAAAAGGAAAACAAACTCCCAAACACACACACACGCGACGTTTGTGTAAGTTCAGTTATTAACTTACGGTAATTGCGACAGCTTCTAAATGAAAATTATGGGAAGAAGAAACCCTAGCGTGGAGCACATCAAGGCCAAGCTCTTCAAAGGTTTCCAATATGAAAACAAGCAATCCGGAGCAGCTTCTTTCAGTGAATACCTCAATGACAAAACCTGTTTCTTGAGCTTCAACTTTAACCTGCTACTTTAATTAATGTGATTATCAATAAACGACCAGAAATTTCCAGATATATACGAAATTTCTAAACTAATTATTGCGCGTATAAATCACAATGTATAGCCTATAGGGTACTATTTATTAGTTTATTAATTACAAAGTTAACTTTGATTACCATAGGGGATATTGAGTTGGAACAAGAACTTCCGGAGTTTTGGGATGCCGTTAATTTGTCTTGATTTATTTTCTCCACTTTTAATTCCATAAACTCTTGCACGTACTTTGATTGATTATCCAATATATTTGGGCTTCTACTGCGCTGCATGCAGACATAGGACACATGTAAACTCAGAGACTGTAGCCGATCGATTGATCACTTTATAAAGATCTCTTGTTTCAATTCTTCTCTCTCTCTCTCTCTCTCTTAAAGAAGCAGTTCTTGTCTTTAAAATTTTCTTTGGTTATTAATTTCTTTACGACAAGCTAAATACCCACGCATTCTTACCAAATATAACTTCAAACTAATAAGCAGCTCATGATGTAAGTGAAATAGAATTATTAACCTGATGAGGTGATTAGGAACAAGAAATATGTATGTGGAAAATGGCCAGTTTTGAAGTATTGCATCAATAAATGACTCAAATTTTATTAAATTAAGAAGACTATTTTATAACATCAAAATGGTTAATTGACTGATAATAAAAGTTTAACTAATATCATTTTCAAAAAAAAAAAAAAAGTTTAACTAATATCAATCAATGATTTACCGGTTACTCACTGATTATCTTGGTAGTTAATTGATCGCTAATTGTCTGAATTTGATTGGTTACCTATCAACCATTTTCCTAAATAATTTTATAAAAAAAAGTTATGATATAAATATTTTTATAATCCAACCCATCTCACCTAATTTTTTGAGGAAACAAAGTGAGCTAGTAATATATATATATATATATATATATATATATATGTATGTATGTATGTATGTGTGTGTGTGTGTGTGTGTGTGTAATGCTTATTGAGATTAGCTTGAAGAACTGAAAAGGGCAATGGAAGTCATGAATCTAACACAAAAGAAAAAAATCAGTAATTAAAACAGTTAATTAATAAAAAAAAGAAGTTAAAATTAAATGATCAAGAAAAAAAGAACTGTAATTTTATTTATTTATTCTGTTAAAAAAATAAGAAGTGTATGACTTTGATTACATTCAACTAAGTTCCGAAAAAGCATATCCTGAAAAATAAAGTTCGGTTAGGATGATGTTGACAACGGACTCAGATCCTACAGCAAGGGGTCAAATGTTTATTATCTTCAGACACGTGTGTGGAGTGTGGTGTTTCAGCGAATTAGCTTAATTAGAATATATTATGTGTCAAGGATGTATCATAAAACTGCAGTCAAAGAGAAGAATAGTACATGTTAAAAGAAGAGAAGTTAATTGAAAATAATTATTACAGAAATATATATATATATATATATATATATATATATATATATATCGCACCGCATGAGAATTGGTCATGATGGAACGGAGGAGTTGCAGTATCTTGTACAAGCTGGGAGCTTTCTTGTGCTTACCAGAAACCATGTCCTCTCTCTCTCTCTCTCTCTAGGAGCTCTTTTAAAATGTTATGATAGTTATAATGTTTATTATCTGATGATGAGACGATATATATAGACACAGTACGTACAATTACGTTGTCTCCTTTTGAATCATGATTCATGCGCATGTTAATACGTGTTATACATGCGTGTATACTATATACATCACACACACATATTTATATATCGACCTTTACGTCATTAATGAAGAGAAACCATTTTTCCATGTAAATACAAAAGCGCACATAACTAACTATATATATATATATATATATATATATATTGATTGTTACAGTTATACAGGGTTATCAATATTCCAACAATGAGATTTCTTAATGTCGTTCGCTAGCTTATTGAGTATCCTGTATAAGCATGTGAAGAACACACACACACAGATATATTATGCGTAGAGACACATTTGATACAGTAGTGGAATTAATAATAATATAAATGAAACATATCAAGACACTTGCATATATATATATATATATATATATATATATGGGAGTGGGG